AGTAAGTTCCTGGTAAGACCAGGAACAGCAAGGTCAAAGGATGGCCAGAGGACAACGATGTAAGGTAGTTCCATGACCAGGAGAGCCAGTGTAACACTGGGAAAACAGCATGTCGGTTTCCCACTAGCTCAAAGATTGTATTTCAGTAACATCCAGTCCACAAAGATGACAAAAAGACACTGATTCATTTTTCTTTTTCTTTTGTTCTTTTTAGTATGCCACACTACGGAACGGAGACATTATAGAGATTCTTCGGGATGTTGCCCACAACTGGGTGCTGTACACCGGCAAAGGATATGTGGTCCATCTCGCTTATTCCAGTATGTGGAGTCTTCCTGTCTGCTGACTATAACTGGCCTGCACAGAGGCACACTGTGTTCATTGATCTGAGGGTTGTTTTAGATAAATAGTAACAGCAGCTCATGTCAGTAATCTCTGTCACTACAGTATGGGGTGTACAGTACTCTCACTATGTGGTGTGCAGTGACAGTAACCATGGGATGAGCAGCACTGTCAGTATGGAGTGTACAGGACAGCATGTACAGTATATACACAGTACTCTTGGCATGATGAGTACAGTAGCTCAGTAATAGTTGCTGTCATCTGTAGCAGTTTTCATCCCACAGGATCTCAGAGAACCTAACTTGTTTCTTCCTCCTCTGAAGTGCCTCCCCACCCGCTGTCATAGGCAGAAGCCCCCCTAGATCAAGAGGACCCCTGCAGAAGTTCTCTCCAGTGGCGTTAAGGGGGTGTGTATTAGCACAGTCTGTGACTAGCTTAACATTAACTGTCTGCCATCCTTGCTCTTCCCTCCTGTCTGCCCAGCCAAGAATACGGCTGGCTCAGGAAGCTTCTTCGCCTCGTCTGGTGACGTCAAAACTATGGTTAAGAAGGAGAGGCTGGAGTTCATACCTGGGTTCCCACGAGTCCGCGTCAACAACAAATACGACAGCAGGTATCACCCGCGGCCTGGCGGTGACATCATCAGAGAAGCAGAGAAGATGGTAGATGAGGTCCTGCCCTACCCCGTGACGCCCAAAACCTGCGAGCGCTTCGTGGCCGCGCTGAGATACAACATGCCTTTCACCGACCAGGTCAGAGAAGCCAGAACGACTCCTCCGTTTCCTCGGTCTCGCAGTAAACGGTGGGCTCGTGAGTAATTTGTCCCGCGCAAAGGAGGAGCCAGTTAGCAAGCTTGAAATATCCAGCACCCGATGTGGACCTTTACACTGCCACCTTGCAAGGACTGCTGGGGTTTCTGTGGTTCAGGGAGGCTTCGCATAAAAAGCAACAGAGAAAAGTAGAGAAGTCAGCATTGCTGCTTTACAGTGCTGGGACGCTGGGGTGCTGTTTGTGTATGGCTTGCATGCGGGTGCTCCAGTTTCCTCCCCACAGTCTGAAGACATGCTTTTAGGTTAATTGGCTGAGGGGAAATGGGCCCTAGTGTGTGTACTGTGATGGGCTAGGGCCCGTCCCCTATCCTGAAGGGATACGACCGAGCTCCACCATGACCCTGCACTGGATAAAGGCGTTAGGAAAAGGATGTATGTTATCAGCTATCACTGCAGTTATCACCTGATAGAAATATAAGGAGGGTCACAGTTCGACTCGTCCTGTCCGCTCAGACAGCAGTGATCCCTTGAGCCCCGAATCGCTTTTGTCGAACAGCTTGAAGGAACCGGCTTCAGATTCCTTCAAAATCCAGGCTCTCCTGTACTACTCTCCTGAGCCACGCACTGCCGGGGAATAAGGGGAGGGTCTTCTTGATAACGCCATGATCGCAGGAAAGATTTGAACTGACGGCTCCCACTTCCGGTGTGTTTTCCAGTTCCCCGAGCCGCACCGAGGAGACCTCCTGGAGTTCCCCAGGGACAGATTCACTCACTGGGGCTTGTACATGGGCGATGGCTACGTGATTCACTTGGCACCCATAGGTGAATCACTGCTCAGGTTCTTTCGGAACTGAACCACAGCCTCTGCCAGTAGGAAGGACGGTAGAACCGAGTATTGCAGAGGTCATGGTGTGTTATGGGCACAAAAGTGAACTAATGAAACAGAGAGAAACTATTATGGACAGCATGGAGGCCCAGTGGGGAGCATTACCGCCTCACAGCGCAGGAGTCCCGGGTTCAATTCTTTGGGGGTGGAGTTTGTATGTTCTCCCGTATTCATGTGGGTTTCCTCTGGGTGCTCTGGTTTCTCCCCACAGTCCGAAGATGTGTAGGTTGGTGGGTTAATTGGCTTCTGGGAATATTGGCCCTGGTGCGAGTGTGTGTTTCTGTGAGGATCTGTCCTGTGCCCCGTGCTTCCCACGTCAGGCTCCCACGTCACTGTGACCCTGAATTGGAAAAGTGGTTCTTGAAAGTGACGTGATGACAAAATCTCCAAGCACAGCGACAGACGCGGCCCAATCTGACTGGCCTGAGCGTTCTGGAGCTGGTTAAGCCCTATGGCACAGGTCGGCGGGCGTCCTCAGAAAGCTGCACGTGTGCATTTGTGTTCCTCTGTCCTCCAGGCAGGGGCGGCGGCAGGGTCTTGTCTGGCTATTTCTCCTCCGTGACGTCGTCCCATGCCAACGTCCTGAAGGAGCTGCTGAAGGACGTAGCCGGGCCCGGGCTCGATTACAGAGTCCAGAACAAGGATCAGATCCACCCACCCCTCCCGGTCGACGCTATCATGCAGGAGGCCGAGGCGAAGATCGGTACGGTCGTGGGGTACTCCTTCCCCTCCCGCAACTGCGAGCACTTCGTCACGGAGCTGAGATACGGCCGCGGTTTCTCCGCGCAGGTCAGTGTTCTCCTCTGTACTGACAGTGGAAAATTCTCCCAGGTGGACAGGAGCAGCTGCCGGTCCCTTCCAAACCCACAGCCCTCGTGACGGTGCCGGTGAGCTGTCAAAAGCTCTGATGGACTGGCGTCCATAACTAGCTCGTGGGGATCGTGTCCGGCTCCTCCGAGCCCCTGTAAGGATGGATGGAGGTGTCTTCTCTCCCTCCCCTGTTCTCTAGTCACTCTTGTGAAGTGGCCTTCATTCGGGCTCATCCAGGTTTTACCCCTCACCTCACGATGAACACAGCTCCGTTGGTGTCCTCACTGTTCTAGATATTCGGATTGTACTCCATTTATGCAAGGCCAGTTAATTTGCTCCTCGGCCCAAATAGGTTTTTATCAGTCCATTTGATTTATCCCCCTATGCATAACTGAGTTTTTATTATCTGGCGTTTGCGATATGATGCATTCGATATTGTTGTGTGTCAAGGGGTATTACACAAGGGGGTTTCTACACATCGCAGTGCCCCAGCCTTTAAAGGTAAAACAATGGGCAGAGCTGGGATGTAGGCAGAAACTGGACCCTTATCTCATTTTGTCACTTGAGGCTGCTCAAGTGGTCAACTGCCACACTGCTCAAAGATCTAGCTGACCAAACATCTGTCCTAGTTTTTAGCTAAAACTCAACCAATTGCAGTTAAAGCAGTAACGCAGCCTTCAAGAGGATAGATAGAGAGGACAAGATCAAAAAGATCCCATGGAAGAAGTCACAACACAGAACAAGACAGGAGAAGAGACTACGAAAGAGCACATCCTTTTGACAAATCAGAGACAGGTATTTGAGAACTAAAGAGACCTACTATAGGCTTCAAGTAAGGGACCACTGCCTTACAATTCTGGAAATACACATTTTCTATTTGTCTTATCCAAGAGACTACTGAGACATCTCTTTTGTTTACCGATGCATTATTTGGAATAGGGAAAAAAGATCCTCATTTATTTAGATTTCATTTTAGTGAGACGTTTACTCCCGAGTAGGAGCTCTATTTAAAAGAAGATCCCTCCAAATACAGTATTTGTGTATTGGTCAGAGCGTAAGTCATGTTTTTCCGTGTCTCTAGGGAAAAAACCTGTTGCTCACAGTACTGGAAATATCTGTACAAATTGGTCCCAATTGATATTGTGAGTTGTGTACGTTCTCTGTGTAAATATCTGTCCTTTTAAAACTTTTGCTACTTAGCCGTCACTAAAGAAACTAGGAAAACGTGTAATTCCATGAAGTGTAATTAACTTTTTATTAATTTGCTTGAGTGCAAACTTGTGTCAGGAGCTCATCTTGGTTATAATTTAACCCCTTCTTTATTCAATAAGTCACACCCCCTCTTGTCTATTATTAACCAGTTTCCTAGTAACTCCATTATTTTCCTTATTTGTAGACAAATGGCTGTCTTTTGTTAACTACAGTCTGAATTGTCTTTTTTTTCTCAAACCTTTTAGGCTATAGTTGCTAAGCACAGTTAGGGCACAATTTGAGTCCTCACCAGGTGAGAAAAGAAAACGTTTGATTCTCCTGCTTCTGAAGCCCTGGGAGGAGAGATGCTTGAATAGAGCTGCAGCCCTCCTCCTCTTTAATAATAAT